TTAGACTCACTAATTACATCACTGGTTTTGGGATGACAGAGATGCACCGATTGGCCAGCCTCGATTTCAGCCGATATCTCCGCGTCAAACCGATATCATCCGCAGATGTTATCTACCTCTGCAAAGGTCTGAAGATCTATGGTGTGAAATCAGTTCCATAGTTGCTGCAAGCCAATGTGTTTTGTAAATGAATCCAGGTTGTAAAATCATGCTGCTGGAATAATATCTAAATTTTAAGGCTTTTATTTTAACAGATCTGTACCAGGGGGAACAATAAAAGTTTTCTCTACTTTCTATCATCGAATGGTCATGTGTAGGCGCACAAAAGAAAACCCCAAACTATAATGTAGGAATGTTTCACTCTATTATTCCTTTATTAAGTCTCCAAACAAATGTGGTAAATCAACAAAACATTTATTCAACAGAAAAAAGGCAGATTCTGACAGTTCAATAAACAAACTGACGAGACCCGGCAACACATGGCACCTGGATTCTTAATCTTTGTTCCTAAATCATCACAAGGCAGAAACATATGGAGCCGATTCGAGGCACAAAGGAAAAACAGACTTTAAGAGACGTGGAAAGAAGTAGGACCACCGCATCAGCTGCAGGCGACCTCATGGAGAAGGCACCAATACCAAAATAATCCTTTGGCAAATAAAAAAAACTAAAGAACTTTTATTTTTCAAAAGAAATACAGCATGTAAAGATTTTTTTTTTACAGGCAAACAGGAATAAGGCTGATATGATTTTTTCCATCTAAATTCAGCAGAGCAGAAAAATCACAGTGTGCAGGACATGTCGGACACCCCCCACCAGTAATAAAAGAGGTAAAACAGATGTAATGCGAGCGTGGATTTATCAGCCGCACCTACAACAATCGCAAGGTCACGACCTGCACGTTTATTTGACAAAGACTTTTGTTGAAAAATGAAAAGCGAAGCTCACAGTGGTCTGCAATATTTGCTGAATCTTCAAAATAAAATAAGTTTATCAAAGAGGTTTTCTAAGATAAAGATCGACCCCACTGGATAGAGGATTTCATTTCTTGTTTTGTTATATACAGCGTGTCTAAAAACTATCTTCAGAGAGGAAGTTGGTATAACTGAGGGAAGAAATTTAAGATTTTTTAGGTTAAAGTTGTCGGAAATAAAGAGATGTAAGAAGCTATTTAAACCAGAACATTTTGCTCTGCAACAGGACTTCTAGTTATATACTTGGACAACAAGGACCAAAAACATTTCAACATTTTAAAATAAGGATATTCAAATGCCGTGTCCCTCCTGATAGTTTTTAGTTCATGCTTTTTGAGCCTAAATAGAATTCTGGCATCGAGCAAAATAAGAAGACCTTGGCCGTTTCTCAGCTCACAAGAACGCGAGTACGGACTTTCATCTTCGCCAAGTATGTTCTTAAGAAGCGAAGCATAAATCTGGGTCAATTGGAAAAGAAGTGTTCTGATGACATCACCGCATTCAAAGCTAGTCTGTAGCTACATTTCACCTCCTGTTATTAATAGTCTCTAGATAATAATAAATTATTACTTTTTTCATTTAGTGGGGGAATAATAATGAACACAGCCAGGGCTAACGCAGCCTGGGCTAACGTTAGCCCGTCTGAAGCACCCTGAGCTAAGCAGCCAGGACAAACATTAGCCCGTCTGAAGCACCCTGAGCTAAGGTTAGCCTGTCTGCAGCAGCCTGGGCTAACGTTAGCCCGTCTGAAGCAGCCTGGGCTAACGTTAGCCCGTCTGCAGCAGCATGGGCTAACGTTAGCCCGTCTGAAGCAGCCCGTCTGAAGCAGCCTGGGCTAACGTTAGCCCGTCTGCAGCAGCCTGGGCTAACGTTAGCCTGTCTGCAGCAGCCAGGACTAACGTTAGCCTGTCTGCAGCAGCCTGGGCTAACGTTAGCCTATCTGCAGCAGCATGAGCTAACGTTAGCCCGTCTG